TTATTTTTGGTAAGTAATTTTATTTAAACTGAATAGGAGATGCACCAAAGCCTGTTTTTCTTCTTACCTGTTTATGGAGAATAGCTACTTTTCACTTGATTGTGTGTGATTGTAAGGGTGAACTGGCAATTTTGCCTTTCAAATGCATGTGTATCGGGAAAGTGCGCGTGCATTCCTGAAAAAGAAAAGCAAACCACTTGGTTTTTCTTAGCAATGTAGCAGCCTCAATTTGGTGTCTGCCTTTTGCATGGGAAGGAGGGGAATCAATAGGTGAGAGAACTTAAATTCCAAGGCAGGTTTTCACTTTTCCACAGTGTTTTGCTGCATTCTACAAAGAACTAGAATGATGTGGGTTCTGAAATAAAAGATTATCTCATGGACTGACATCTCTTCCTTGCTCAGTTTACCCAACATCCTCAGACCACAGGGTGCATGATTTTAGTGTTGTGGAGACACTTCTGAGCAAGGAAAAGTTTTTTGTTAAAGCAGGTTTTAGTAAACATTCGGCTGTGAGGAAGAGCTGCGTGAGTCTGTGATTAAACAGCTACAGGCCTTCTCAGGAAAGTCACAAGGGTCCCTCCCAAAGCGCTACAGTCTGGAAATGGCCTGTTCTGTAAGTTAGTGGTGAGCCTGACGTGGGACTGTCTTGGTTTTTCTTCAAGGTGCCATTGCGGCGTCAGTAGCAGGATATTGCGTCTGTAAGAAATTACATTCACGGAAAAGGTGAGTAAACCGTGATCATCTCTTACTGTCTTTGCTTTGGTATTAACGAGTGCTCCAGTATATTGAGCTTTACCAGCTTCTGTTTTTAAACACCCAAACACATCAGAAGAGTTCTAGTTTTGTACCTGCTGTCTATGTAAAGTTTCAGAACATATGCAGTCCTTCGTTGCTGGCTTCTGATCGTTACCCCACTGTTAGCTAATTTATACGGGTTTACTGCAGTGCAAAGTGTTAAGTGCATTTAAGTTGGATTTGTGTGAAAATCGCTGCTATTCTTGCATGCAAATAGTCAAATTATACTGGAGAGTGAGCTACCCTTTTGTCTGTGCATTGGCTTCGGCTCAGTCCTGAGGGGTATAGTGTTAATATGCTGTACTGATTCTGCTGTGAAAGGGGTTCAGTGCACAGTCCTATCAGTCTGGCTTCTTTCAAAACCACAACATTTGCGAGTCTTTCATGATTTGCTTCATTATTTTCCCTCCTGGCTTTTCCCAAAGGGTATATTGGAAAACATCTTATACTGCTTTTTTCTGAGGGGCGGGCGGTGGTAAGATATACTTATGTAAAGCTTAAGTCTTATGCAGGTGGTTTTCGGTCTTTTATGCATTTTGCAATTTTGTTCAGCCTGGGGCTTAAAAACTTTCTCTTTCAAGTCAGTGTACCACTTGGAAAGGTTCACAGTTACTTAGTAGGATGTTTCTAATTGAGTCTAGAGATAAATTTGCTGCTGCCAAAGGGGTTACTGGCCCTTGTCACATGTTTGTGAGGAAGAATCCATTTCTCCAGTCCACTGTCTTAGATGTGACACCTACATTGCTAACTTCTTAATTATAACTTGTAATTCTCAGCATGCAGTTCCAAGAATGCCTCCTAGTCAGTGGTTTAGAGCAGTAACACATACTTGACCGTTTCGGGGGGAAAAAAGAGAGACACTTTTTCTATCTTTCGGTTCTCACGGCTTTTTTCTGGAAACATAATTAAGAATTGCAAGTCAAATTTTGTTTCTTGAACAGTCTGATGCACTCTTTGGAATGCACGAAAACGATTGCTAGTCAGCTGGGGGAACACCTAAAATGTCAATCCTCAGGTGCTAACCTGAACCACGCCTGACTACACAGTGAAAAAGGAAATTTTCTCAGTTCCGTTATCACAAATTGTGATTCTTCATCTGTGTGGCGTTCATGTGCCTGTAACAATCTTTCAAAGTGAGGAAGTGGCTCACTTAAGGTTTTTAGCTAATCAGAGGTGAGAGCAGAGTTTATTTTATGCAGTTTTGCAATCTCTAATACTATTATGACACAGTTTATTCAATAACTGAATTAATCCACGCTGCCTAATGTGCTTCTAGTATTCAAGTGCTTGCTAATTAATCAGTTACCAAACTATTAAACAGAATAGCATGAACCTATTTACTGCTGGTGCACTTCAGAAAGAGCTACCGTTTAAATGTTTATTATATCTGAAATAACAGGAACACAACTCATTTTGCACTACTTCCTTTTTGTAATAGCAAAACTAGGGCACTTTTTTTCCAAGTCATTCATGTACATATTGAAATGGACGAGATTTTGTGAAAAATAGATTTTTGACTCTTAACTGTACTTATTTTTGTTCATAGGGAAACTGCCTGCCCCCCAGCCACCGCGGAATACATTGCTTGTAAAGCATGATTGATCATTTTGGGGGGGGTGAAGTTAAATGAGCCTTTCAGAGATGGAAAAAGGACTGCGCTTGCCCTGAATTTGTCTGAGAATTGTTAGTCCCTGCTTTCACCAGAGTTGAAGATGTCATGGCAGAATCTTTACTTTTCATTATTGTTACCTGTTTTGGTTGATGAATTTTAAGGAAGGCAAAAACCTATGTCATCCCTTTCAGCTCCATCTGTTGTCTTTCTCTCGTAGTAATTTTGTCTGTAGCTATCTCTAGTCAGCAAGGAAGTTTGTGTTAGTGCTAGACAGCTGCTGCCTTTTCTGTCTTGCAGTCTTGCTCTCCTTACAGAAGAGAGTGTTGAAGGAAAGATGACTTGGTAGGGCCTTAATATGGCTCCTGTGTCACTACAAAGATTTTGACATTTAGATGTTGTTCTTTTAAAGCACTTGAATTCTGTTAATTATTCTTTCTGAAGAAAGCAGCACTTATTTGTCTAGATGAATTTTTTTGCACGCTTGCTTTCTTAAGTTTGCCAGTGGTTATGTATATTTGCTTGAAAACTAAATTATTTATTTTCCTTTTGAATATATTGTGGATTGACTTTGGAGTTGTTTTACCATTCTCACTCCTTCTCTATTGCGGAAGTTTTCTCGTAGGCTGCCAAGAACCAGATTGAATTCCCTGTCGGGAATATCCTTGTTCATGTTTTAGTTTATGGTAAACCGATAAAAAGCACTGAAGTGGTATGCTGGTACATAGATGCTAGTAACTGTACCATAAACCAGGATTATTAGACTGGAGGGTTTATGAAATAATCCAATGTTCTAACTAACTTCCAAAATTCTGTCGTGTGCACCTACTGCGTTTTTGTATGCAGACTGCCATGCCTCCGGGGTAGACTTACAGTGTTGTTAATCGGTATGTATGTTAATGGGGAAATGCTGAACAGCTGTGCAGAGAAACACTCATTTCATGTTTAAAAAAAAATTAAATAAAAGATCAGCCAAAGTTACTCAGCTGACAGAGGTCAAACAATTATTGGATTGGGCTTTCTTGCATTGGAAATTAGTCCTTGATGTGTATAGTTCAATGTGAGGTCCCACCGCCTCACCGACAAGTTGTCTGTAGACATGGGCTTGAAAGTATCTGGCTAGTATCTGTGACGTGAAATGTTTAAGTTGCATTACCAAAGTTGTATATAAATTATGGCAGTCTACGTAGACAGTTCAGGCAGGTACTGACCTTTTTTTGGTATAGAAGGTGGTCATTTCGACTCAGGTGGTTGAAGCCTTGTTTATCAATGTAAATGCTGGTTGTGCTTTTGATACGGATGTATGTAGTGTCTTAGCACTCACTTCATGATTGTGCAGTATGATTTAATGCTATTTAAAATATGCTGTGCGCAAAATTATGCGTGGCTTTGGGCTATTCTTAAAGTGAATTTCCAAAGACCTAATTTGTCTTATTTCTGCTTCTCCATACTGAGGCCCTGGCCCTGCAGAGACGTCCACAGTGAGTCTGTCCAGATTCTTTGCAGGGTCGAGGCCTTGTCAAAATAGTTTAATTTCCAGGAGTTTTGCTTTGATTGCGTCTCTGGATACCTTAGTGAGGAGTATATTGTAAATGCCTGTATCATCACTGGATAGCTTGATTCTTCCTTCAGTGCCTTTTACCATATTGTTTTTGAAATGCATATGCAAAAGGTACAGGCTTATTAAATGTTCTGTCTGATGTAAATTCCAGTAATGACTTCCAATAAAGAGAAGTGCATTTTATTAGTGACAAGTGTTTTGCCTTTTATTTGTCCCCTGACCGGCAGATATTCTGTTCTTTTTCAAAAAAGTAGGTTCTGAAATTGTGTGGTATTCTTGATATAACTGATAGGTTCAAAATTTGAAAGCCCAACTGGGCACATATAGTCCCATTGATATTTGGGCACTGAAGCAGAGTTATGGTGTCTTTTAAAGGTGCTGAGCAGTGCCATTGACTTCAGTGAGAGTTGAGGGTTTGGCAGTCCTTCTGAAAATTGCATCACTTGCATTTAGGGCCTCCTCACTCGAATATTTGGCAAATGATTTTGAAAGAAGAAAGTGAACAAGAGAATAATGACATTGACATTGCATTAGTTGATCATGCTTACTCTCACCAGCTAGTGAGGATGCCTGCACGTTGGCCTGTTCGTAAGCTCCTGGGAACCCTCAAAGGGCCTTTTTGAAACTTGTTGAAGAAATCCTGATCTCATTAGATTATAAGGTTATTATTGTCTTCGTTACTTTTTAATTGCAAATTACAGTTAGCTCAGCTTCCCCCCCCCACCTTTTTTTTTTTTTTTACAAAGAGCTGTTTGGTTTGGTTATACTGTCTTTCATTGTAAGCCACCCTAAGCCCCTTTTTTTGGGTGGGTGGCAGATAAATTTAATATATAAAATATTGGCTGCAAACTCAAAAAGTTCAAAAGTGAGCTGGGCTGGTGCTATTAATCATGATCTCTTGAGAAAAATGGCAAGGTAGATGCATCTAGCTCGTGCTAACACAGCATGGACTGATGGAGGAGGTTTATCGTTTGCTTTCTAATCTGCTTGAAGGATAATTTGTAAATTCAAATCAGTTGATCTACCCTGAAGTGATAACATTGAACTACTAAACTACTATATTGAAGCTCAGACTGTTTGGTAATCCTAATTCGGCCTAACCGGTACTGTTAGGACATTGGCCTATAGTTTGTGTAAACTTGAGCTGGGTTGAAAGAAGTATGTGTGGAGAGGGTGTAAGAGTAGGTTGAACTAAGGGTCTGCAAGAAAAAAGTTCCTCTGCATAAATTTTGAAAAGCTTTAGTGAAGGTAAGCGATGCTACAGATAAATGACTCTAGAGTTGTAGCAGCAGAAACACCCCCTTGCATACACCCATTTATTCAGTGGAGCTTGTTTTGTGTCAAACTTCCAGGTCACAAGACCTAATCCTGCCATATTAACAATATTTGCCAAAGCACCATGGATGGTGGGCAGGAGCAGTGGCTGCTGCTATTCTAGTGGTAGCTATGACTCACAAAATTATGGTTAAAACTTTCTTTCTAATTCTAGTGGAACATAATTGTCCTGGCTTTGCTCTTCAGATGGCCCCATTTAGGTTGCCTGGCCTTTTGCTTTGGGGAGTATATAATCACCCTGTTAACACAACAAAATGAACCCTGTTAAAATCACCCTGTTAACACAACAAACCATACACAGAAAACTCCAATGTCATTTCATTCCTGAATTTGCCATTCAGCTGGAAAGTGTAATGAATGTTCATCTACTTTCTTTCTCGTTATACAGGCATGGATTAATTAGACAGTGAAATAAATGAGTTGCCCAGCAGTAGCATTTATGAGTATGTATATGCTGTGTTTAAGAGGAGAGTCATAGAGGTCTCCTCCAACTCTTGAGAATCCTGTGTAATCTAGAAAACTTTAGCATTTCATGATGGTTTAAAAGTGGTAAAGAAATGTTAAATTACTCACCACAGTCAGTCTACTGTGAATAATACATCATCTCCACTTAGTGGCAATATTTAGCAGGAAGTAATATTTAGTTTTGTAACTAACCTGGATCAGGGGTGTCAAGAATCCAGTCTGCATCTGGCTCAGAGGGCTTTTGGGCAGGACCTAGTACTAAATTTTGGTGCACAGACCCCCATGGAGGATGTGTGTCTGTGGCAGAGGGGTGAGCGACAGCTGCATTGACCCTGCTGTTCCCTAATGCTGCTGGTCCGGCTGCCAGAAGTGAGTTTGGATTCAGGCTGTGCGGAGCCTTGTGGCCCTGATCTGGCTGGGATGTGGGGAAGCAGGGTCAAGGGAATTTGACACCCCTGATCTAAATGTTTTGGTGTAATCCTTCTGAATTGCGTGTCTTGAGAGAACATGCTTGCTAAAGACATTATATCATATTCAGGAATGTAAGAGTGAGATACCAACATAGTCAGGTGTTTGTACTCGTCTTGTAGTGCTTTCAGAACAGGAAGATGCAAACTGCACCTGGCGAGTGAGAGGAGGAAATCCATTTGCAGCAGTTAGGTAATCAACCGAAAAGGACGTGTCTTTGAGGCAGAGGCCAATATGACGTAGTACAAATTTTTATTGAAAACAGTAGCTCAAAGTAGGTTACATAGTTTGCAAGCTTGCAGAATCAAATGGCCGCTTGTTTGCTGGCTAACAGGAAGGGAGGCACTTCTGCATACGCACACGTATGTGTTCTTTCTCGCACATCCCCGCACCTCCCTGAAATTCAAGAGTTGGAGCTAAATCTTTTTAGATGATGCATTTCAAATACCTTAAGCATCCTTCCAAGAGGAAATGTCTGCTCCATGCCCTTTATTTTACACGGCATATTGAACAGGCACATACAACTAACTTAAGTTCAGAGAATACAAAGGCTTTCATGAGTAAATACCTGTGTATTTATGTAGCAAGGTACCGGTAATAAGTTTTCTGGTAGTATTCTGGAGCCAGTGTGGTCATCGCATAGGAGTTGTGCAGGGGGGGAAAAGTGAAGTTTCCAATTACTGTTGCTTTTCCCCCTACATCATAACCGATTTCAAATGGTGCTAGACAAACACTGAGACTCTGAACACCAAGAGAAATCGGTCAGCCTGTGTAAGAGACTTTTCCAATTCAGAGGTTCCTCCTGTAGCGAACAGCCCTGTATTCTTTGAGGAAGACTATGCTGTACCGGTAGATGCTGCTTCTGGACAATGCTTGTCCCTCTGCATATATGACAGAAGTTGAAGAGAAATAGTGGGTTTGAAGGAACAAGCCTAACTTAAAATTCATCTTCAGTGATTTGGGTTGATGGGGAAAGATTGACCTTATTTTAATATGGTCCATTGGAAATGGGTAGTACTTTAAAATCTCATGATTAAATGCCATGTACATCAACGTATTTTTCTTGGCAGATTTTGTCCTCCCACCACTGATAACAAAGGAATGGGATTTTCAGAAGTGCCAAGTACCTGTAGCTCCATAATGAAGTCTGTAGGACCTGGACATATTTATCACTTCTGAAAGTAAGGCCATAAACGCCCCAGGACATTTGTTGGTCTATTTAAAAAAATAGATCTTTGCCATAGCATGGCTTTAGGAATAGATTTTCAGCCATGCTCTTACTAGCTGTGTCTTCAGTGTTGTGCATGTAGTTGTGCTGCTTTATGCCTTTAGTCCAGACAGTTAGTGTGCATCAGTTCTGTTAGGGAAAAAAATCCAATGAAGTCCTTCCCTGCTACAGCCCCAGCAACGCATACTGTAAATGGTGACCCATGTCGGTGCCTAACACTACCTGTTGTTAACAGTTGGAATTAAGTTATTTCTTTCAGGCCAAAGCAACTTTTAAGGAGTAGACCCCAGTCGAGAAGTAAGCAGCTGCTTCTTCAATCTCTTCCCACGCTGTAATTCTTGCCCCTAGAACACTGATTTCAAATGGTGCTAGATACAAAGATGGGAAAATCTAAGCCACCATGTGAAACCAGCTTCCAGAGGAAGACTCATCTCCTTGCATAGCTGCAGTCTGGAACAGGGAGTTGGCTGTTTATAAGGTTCCTAGAGAGAAGCTTCTGGTTTATTTTTGTTGCTGATAAATGAGGAGACAGTTAGTTATATAAGAACAGACGGACCTCCAGATGTCAGTATGTAAGGTGCTGAGATGTAGCTGTATTCAGATTATGAGCAGTTTCACTTAAAATCAAAGTGAAATGATGGCAGTTAGTGAAGGATCAAAGCCAGTGGAAAGAACATGCCAAAAGCATTCCTCTAAGTCACTTGAAAATAGGGGAGGAAGGAAAAAGAGTAGTCTACCCACATGAAGAAAGTTATCTGCTATGGTAGTTTAGACTGGCATTTATACCTTTGTGTAGCACCTAAATAGTGAGACAGCAGGTGCTTTAAAAAGGCTGAGTGTGGGGGGCAGGAAGTGCTTACAGAAACTAAAAATCTGAATTACTTCGTGTTAGACTGAAAATGAACCACACATTCATGTAAGTCACTGATACTACAGACACCAGGACAAAAATGTACCACCTAATAGTACCTATTGATAAATAATTATGAACTTGTCCCGCTTTGATGGTATTAATGTACCATGATGAAAACTCTCAGTATGTGCACTGCAACTGGAGGCCAATGCCCAAAGGTAGATGGGTCTTAAATAGGAATACTGCTAGAAAAAAACAGAGCATCATAATGTTCTACCCAAGAATGTATGTAGCAGTGGGGCTTGGAGAAGGCAACATGTAGTACATGTTCATTTAGCTGTGTTAGTATGGGCAAAATAAAAATAATCAGGTTATTCCTTACCTCCCCCCAGCCCTTCTTCAAATCCCCCCTTTTTTAATGGAAGATACGTAATGGCTAAAGCCATCACCTTATTTGTCAGACTTAAGAAGAGAAGCACGTTCCGTTGATGTATTACCCCTTGCCCTACCTTGTAGTTTATATTTAATTATGGAAAAACTGACCGTGTTGAACACGTCAAGTATGGCGTCTTACTCATGAGCCAGTACTTACCTCAACGGGGAGGCTCTCCTGGAACAGGGTAGCCACGTTCCTTGTTCCATCACATGGTGTCAGAGCCACAAACAATAGGGCACACGCTCTCAACAACATGCTCCTTGGTTACTTGGGTTATTTTTGTTCCTTTCTCATGCAGACCCCACAGCTGTAGTTAGCACAATGGCAGTCTTCTGTGGAAAAGAGAACATAATGTTCCTTACGTAAGGGGCAGGTTTTGTTCAAAGGAACCATAGCTCCATGACACCTCAGCGGCCTCTCCCACTCAGAGCCCAGAGCCAGAACTGTTTGCTCAGTCCTGCTCGGTATGATTGTGTTAACCTTCTCAGAAGGAATTTGGGAAGGGAATTGGTGCTAAAGCTTCTTCCAAATCAGCAAATTGAAAAGCAAGTTATGCCTGTCAGCCAATTATGAGAAGACAGAAATATCCAGGAAAAACGTGACCATGGCAGAGTAGAAAGGTGGGGTTTAGGCTGCTGCTTGGCTGTACACAGCATAAGCGGGAATGAAGAACAATCTTTCTTGTAGTCAGTTATGTTTGAAACAAAATCCCTGGAAGCACATAGGCTGCATGTGTGCACCCTTTGATTAATGTATTGTGTGTGCTTACAGTGTCTCTTCATCTGCAGAAAGTGCTTTCTAAACATTAAACAAGTCCATTCTTTGTAATTGAGGAAATGGTTGTGAACACAAAGATGGGGGGAAATTAAAGCTACAGAGGATGTCAAGAATTACTTGAGAAGGACTGGGTCCCAGTTCCATGCTCTGACTGGTTTTTTTGGTTGTTTTTTAAATGATCAGATCACTCTTTGAGCTGGATGACTTTTTTCAAGAATATTTTTTTCTCTTTCAACTCCATCTGGTATTTTGTAATGGCTTACACGGTGCCTAAGCTTCCAGCCCCAGAGGCCAGATGAGAGGCACAGTCTGCTCACGTCAGTAAAAGATGCAGTACTTCAGACCCATGTGCAGCCAACACTAAAAACACTTGGTGAAACTGTTTAGGCTGAGCTGAGCATCTAACTTATGTCCTAATAACAAAATAGTACTAGAAAAGAAGTCCAAAATGGTGACTGTACATGCAGGATTCAGGAGGAAAGAAACTGTTCTTATTCCTGGAAAACTTGAGTTTGATCCTGAATCATGGAATGTAATATACAGGAATGTGTTTGCCTCCTAGGAACTGGATGATCTTACTAAGACATCTCTAGTGTGCCCCCAAGTGCTGCTGCGTGGTTGCAGGGGTGTAGGTTGTAGCCGTGTTGGTCTAAGGACATAGGCAGCCAAGGTTCCTTGGGTGAATGTGATATCTTTTATTAGACCAACCCAAATAGTTGGAGAATAGTTATTAAGCAAGCTGTCGAGTTCAAAAACCCTTCGTCAGGCTAAGGAAGTTTCAGCAGTTGGTGTGTGCTCTTCCTGGATGGAATGAAAAGTAAAGAAGCCCATCCCCTGGCTTCTTTACTTTTCATTCCTTAGCCTGACGAAGGGTTTTTGAACTCGCAAGCTTGCTTAATAACTATTCTCCAACTATTTGGGTTGGTCTAATAAAAGATATCACATTCACCCAAGGAACCTTGGCTGCATGGTTGCATCTTTCATTGAGTACTAAGTGGCAAAGGCTGAGAGCTAAAGTCTTTAACAGAGAAGGAAATGGATTCAAAGCAACTTTTTGTTCCCAAGTATGCCAGGCACCACCTGTGTGGAAATACTTAGAGGGGGATTGTTGGAAAATGAGCTGAAACCTTGCCAGCAACATTTCTACCATGAAAAGCAGGCTGCTCCGAGCAAGCACTCAAATTCATAACAAGCCGTTTGAGTTGCCTAACTGGGGAACTGAACGTGTCCCTTTAATTCAGACATACAAACTTAAGGAGTGCACGTATAAAGTGGCTGATGTTCAGAGCAGGTGGCGCTATTGGATTGTGAAGACTCATTTAAAATGAGTCAGATTGGCCTCTGTGTACCTACCGAGAAAGCAGATGTCAGTCTTGTCCTCGCTTCACTTTTGATTCTTAGGATTGTATGGAACTTTCTACTAAAGTAGATGCAGCGGCAAGGTAACCAGAAGATAAGATGACAAGTAAGAGAAGCTTCTTGCAATCTCTAAATGGTTTCTGAAGAAGAAGAGTCAGAGATCAGTTTAGAAGTTGCTTGTGCTGTTGAGCAGTAGGAGTGGCATCACTTTGCCTGGGTGTTCAGAAATCAGAGGTTAAAGAATACGGGAGACTGGATAGCAACACCTTTACAAGAGTCTCTAGGTCAATTATTTTAACCCTAACAATGCTAGTAGCTTTTAATGAATACCAAGGAAGAATGCGAAGTTCATCTCGACTTTCAAAAAGTGCTGGCCACCTGTAGCTTTCATTGAATTAAAGGAGTTTCTGGTACAGACGTGAGAACTCCTGAGTTCCAGTCCCAACTTCAGATACGAGCCCTTCTGTCACCTGAAACAAGCTTTGGTTTCTGTGCACGAGTTCTCTGCCAGTGTTGAAATATTTATAATGCTCGTTGATCACAGGGAGGGAATGTAAGGAGTATGTATGATGGTTAGCGTCTAGTCTCAAGGGCCACACTAGTAGAGCAAACTCTAAATTAGAGGGAAAGGCCATTTCTATTTGAAGCTACCAGATTTGCACTATGAGTTGTGGGCACTTATGGATAGATGAATGTGCATTTAGAAATATAATTCAGAACCTTGTGGTTCTGAAATGCGTCCCAAGCTCGGGACACGCACACTCTTCAGTTTTGGGGGGCTGATTCAGCTCTTTCTACTACAGGAAACCACTTTGCAGTTTAGGTCCTTCCTTTGAATCTTCTGTTCGTGCTTTTGGAGTGGGCAGCTGCATCAAAACAGCCTCTTACTGATGCCAGAGCTTCATGAAATGCTCTTGAACATAAACTGGTCTTCTCTGAACAGCTTGGACTCCGTGTATACTTTGTGGTGCTAAGTGGCGGTTTTCCGTTGCTTCATCCAGCGAAGTGCTCAGGCGTGTGCTTCCGTCTAAACAGATGAGTTTTTGTAGTTAACATCTGTAGTTAAGAACATACCCATGCACTTTGCTGAAGTGGGGCCAAAGCAAGAAAAACATTGGCTTTAGGCAGCTGCTGAACAGCCCCTAGCTTGATGGAACAGGTTACATTACCTGTTAAATATACTTACTGTTAGATTCAAATGTTTTTAAGTTCCCATTCAAAGGTAGCGTGCAGTCTCAGCAAAGAAGTATGTTCCAAGTTAGTGTATCGCAGCTTTGCATTTCCATTCAACAGAAGCTTGTTCAACCATCCTCTTTTCCATACACTATAAAAGAAAGAAGCAGAGAAAGAATATCAGGCTTCAGTCCGTTTCCAAGCTGGTAGAGAGAGAAAATAATCTTTCAGAATGTTTGTATGAGTGTTGGCTTGCTTTCTCCAGCTCTGAGCTTCAACACTACTGCAATTGTTCTTAGACTCAAATTATTTTTTAAAAACCTTCCATCTAAAAACGAGGTAAACAAAGATGTGTACAGAGTATCTTTCAGTGAATGAATATTTGGCCCTATTCTGGAGTGGTATGGTAGGAGCACATGCATGAAATCTTCAAACAGGTTATTTGGCAGGAACTAGAGGTTCAAGTCTTGCTAAAGTTAGTTTAATCTGTCTTTCTTCATGGGGATATAGATTGAGATTCAAAAAATAGCTCCATCATTCTAAAGAAACCTGAAGAAGGGAAGTTTGCTCTACACTTATGTGAGAAGAGGCTATGATAGTACCCTCCCCACAGTGGGTTTGAACTGCCATGTCTCTCACTTCTAGCATTGTGCTCTGACCACAAGGCCACAGCCAAGGCCTTTCCGAGCTGTCAAGGATAATGCTGCAGGCAGGTCTGCCTTCAGCCTGCAGCCATGTGTGGTCCTGATCCAGCACATGGCAGGGGATCCTGACAGGAGAGACATAGGAGCTGCTGTGCAGCCCCAAGTAGGAGCAGCAGACCCCTGGGCTCGGAGGTCCCCCCCACAGCCAGAGCAAGGTGCTGTCTCCCAGCGCAGGACAGAGAAGGATGTCCCACTGCGAGGGCTGCACTGCCTGCTGGCCTGCCCCTTGCACAGCTCCTGCGCCTTCGCGCGGCAGGAGATTGTTCGGGCAGTGAGCGGCCTCCTGGGCACAGCGCAGTGACCCCTCTATGAGGACAGCAGGACTGGGGTGCTGGTCTGGGTTTTGCCCAATGGCCACCTGGCTCGTGGCCCTTTGCCTTTTGGGGCCCCAGAGGCACCTCTGCAGCTGGACCTTGGTCTGAGCCCGGCCCCGGGGGAGGATATTTGAGCAGGCAGCCTTCCCTTGGTGCCCACATGTCCGTGCTGTGCAGGACGTGGCTGTCCAGCTCCCCGAGGGCAGCCCGAGGCTGCTGCAGCCCCTCAGCCCCAGGTCTCCCTGAGAGCCGGGGGGCTGGAGCAGGGTGCTGTGAAGCACAGGCTGGGGATCCACATTCCCTTGTGACTGGAGGCCTCTGAGCCCCTCTTCTCTGCACCCCCTTGGCTGGGGTTTCTCAGGAGCTGGGACCCCACAGTGGTCCCTGCTCAGCAGCCAGAGAAGACCGGTCCCGCTGCCCAGGGCGGCGTGCTGTGCGGCTTTGCTTTTCCAGGCAGGTCCCGTGCCCGGAAACAAAGGCAGACCTCCCAGTCCGGAGCCTGATGTCTCCTGACTCGAGCACAATTGGCTACAAGTCTTCTCCGGCATGGCAAATATGATGGCCCTTGGCCTGGAGCAGCTGGGCAAGCGCCGCTGGGGAAAGCAAGAGTGAAAGTCAGGCCCAGAAGATGCTGGCTCTGTGCAGAGTCAAACCCACGAGCCCTGCTTGACTGCACGGGGCCTTGACTACCAGGCCACAAGGCAGGCAGGACTCACAGCCTTCCCGGGGCTCCCCTTGTAGTGGAGCCAGCGCATGTCTGCATGGAAGGAGTCAAGGGGCCCAGGATTGAGGATTTGAGACAGCTGGGTGCTGTGGTGCACAGTGCAGGGCCCTCTCCCTGGGGGTGCTAAAGTCCTGGGTTCTGATCTGGGCCTCCTTGTTTTGTGGGGAGGTGCCTTCCTCTTTCAATGGTGGGGTCTGGTTGCTGCGCCTCGGGGCCCATGGCAGGAAGCATTCTCTGTCTTTGCTAATACTCTGGTGGTTAGGGTGCTACCCTTGGTGGCAAAGGTTGTGGGTTTATGCCCCAGCTGGGCTGGATCTCTGGGCTCTTTGCTCCTCGGTGAGTCCCTGGTGCCTATGACTAGCTGTCTGCAAGCAGGCTTTGGAGGGGAGGCTGGCTTCCCTGGGCATCTGAACCCTGGATTCAACAGTGGAATGTTGTTTTGCACCTTGAACAAAAGGGGTTTTCCAGTTTTCTGCCACTACGCACCATAACCATGCCAAAAAAAATCCTCAGCCAGCGCCAGGTGTTTTGGGACATTTCTAAGTGGGCTACGATTCCAAATCCTCTTCGGCTGTTAACTGCAATCACCCCTGAGCACTAGCTGCTAGGCAAATGCCAGAGGGAAATCAGTTGCATAGGAAATGGGGACAGCCCCACTCCTCATGGCCCCTTGACCCTCCAGGGGCACCGTGCACTGAGCCCCCTACAAGGGAGCCCTGGGGCAGCTAGGACCCCCTCGCCTCTGGGCCTAGGGGCAGTGGCATGGGGCATGGAGCCGCACTCCACTGATTTGATCCCCCTGGGGCACGGCCTCTACATGTCCTATGTTGGCTGCAGTGGTGGGCTTCACCACACGGGTGGGCTCTCTCCTCTCCTCCCTGCCTGGGCAGGGCCCTACTTTTTTGCTGCTCAGTGGAACAAGGCGGCTCCTGCTGCTAAAACCTGCAGCAACAACCAGTGCAACGGATGTGCAGCCCCCGGCGCCTGCGCCCAGCCAGGGGCAAGGAGAGGGGCTACCAGGGCAGGCGGCTGCCCTGTGCTCTTGGGCTCCGTTGTGTCCCAGGGTAGACAGTGATGGACCGGGGCATGGCCACCCCTCTGCACATTCACAGCACCCGAAACAGCTGCCGGGCTGGCAGGGCCCGACACTACAGTCCAGTCCAGCCCAGCCGAGGGTTTGCCTTCTCTTGACTGCACCCTCCTGCCTTGGGGCCTCCCCGGCCCTGGCGTCATCTCCCGCCGGAGGCAGTAACAAAGCTCCTGCTCCGAGCCCGGCTTTTGGAAAATCAGCCTCTTGGGACGGGCAATTATTTTGGGCAGAGGGCCGCTTAATGAGTTTCGGCAAGACATCAACAGCTGCATGCCCCAGCCGAGGGTTTGCCTTCTCTTGACTGCACCCTCCTGCCTTGGGGCCTCCCCGGCCCTGGCGTCATCTCCCGCCGGAGGCAGTAACAAAGCTCCTGCTCCGAGCCCGGCTTTTGGAAAATCAGCCTCTTGGGACGGGCAATTATTTTGGGCAGAGGGCCGCTTAATGAGTTTCGGCAAGACATCAACAGCTGCATGCCAGGCAGCTCAGGGCAGATTAATATTAATTTCCTAAAATTTTTAGGGGCCCCGCGGGTTGGACAGAATGGCCTGGCGGGCTGCATCTGGCCCCCGCGCCGCATTTTGAGCACCCCTGCGTCTTGCTCCGGTGCTACCCGCGGCCC